TTTCTGATAATAGAATATTGAAGTGGAGATCGCTAAACTGCAAGCTAACCGGCGTTTTCAGAAAGTAAGCGCGTTTATCCACAGTGAAGAGAGAGGTTGGTTGCCAGGTTGACAAAGATAAGTAGCACACTTAGCAGATATTATATCGATGTATCGATCACAGCACTAATGCTTTTTAATTCCATAATTTAAAAAAAAACGCAATGACTTGAATACACCTCTCATATGATGAGCAAGTATAAACTGCATTTTAAAGTGATTGTGAAAAACGTCATAGATCTGCTCAAAAAGAGGAGCATCATCTCATTGACCCACCTGCTTTTGGCTGTACCATTCCAGCATTCATCACCGATGGCAATCCGTTCTCCAACACACACAGTGTCCGGCAGGGTGGACCAGAACTTTTTGGCGTGCTTCAGTTTCTTCTTGACATCTGTCAACTAGGAAACAAACAGTTTGTGTTACAACCATTCCTTTCTGATCTGGTAGAATAAATCAACATGTTTTTAAAGAAAGTTTCTGGAAGGGATGTAAGTGGTAAGGGAGCCCATTATCCTTACCAGTCGGTCCAGGCTGGTGCCAGCAGCAGTGGTGGGTCTGGCATCAGGGCTGTAGGGTCGGAAACGCCCGGGGAAGCCTGAGTCTTTAGGAGAGCGCCGGGTGCGGAATGCCATGTTGGGCTTGGGCTGCCCACATCCCTGAAACGCCTGAAACAGACAAATAACTATAAATACACATGCACCACAATCAATAAGCATAGGCTTAATAAAAACAGGCATTTCTGATATTCATGTGAAAATGTCATTTTTGAATTAAAAGCATACCTTCTGTGAGACCTGTATGCTGTTCTCTTGCATGTTCATGATGGCGTCTGAGATCTTCACGTCTATGGGATCCATGACAGACTCAAAGTTAAAGGGTCCCTCCAGCCTCTCAGCGAGACCCAACATGGCATCTAAAATTCATAAAATTCAAAATAAAGGCACTCTCAAAGCAATCCATTTCATCAATGCTTTCAATTAACCAAAAAGATGCTGTCATTTCCACCACTAGAGGGCAGCATACAGTCATCGGTCCAGGAACTGAAGCCTGTTGTGCAAACAGCTTGTAGATGCCTGAACAAGGCGCCCCAATTAAGGTTCCGCCCAAAGCTGACAGGCAGGGTGAGCAAAGCCAGTCCCAGAGTCCCACGAGCCAGGAACACTTTGCGAGAGCGCACGAGAATGTGTGACGGGACCTGAGACCACACGGCCTTTCAGAGTCACGAGAGGCCCAAAACACTTCATGAAACACATGCAAGGACAAAACCAGAGCCGCTCCCCAGTGTTCACTCCTAATCCAAGTCAACTCCAATTCTGCTTTCAAGCTGAGGCTTCACATAAATTGTTTTGGCCTCAGAGCAAGTGGAAACCATTTCAATGTGACCTGTTCATTTTTAATCTGTGCTTACGATACTCCTCCGCTTAGTGTGGAAAACTGGATCCATTACATTTAGGAATGGTTCAGTAATAAATCAATTGCTTGAGCCATTTAACACTCTCTTACCAAGGAAGTTATTCCACTCTGTGTCCAGATCGGCCTGATTGGCCAGGCAGCCTCGCATGACGTTGAGACAGTAGTTCTTGCAGGGCTTCAGCGCCACCTGGCCGGTACAGTACGGGCAGTATAACATCTTCATAGCCGCACGCACACAACTCTGGGAGGCACTAACCTGAAAGAAAGGATGAACAAGAAGATTGAGCAAAGTCAGCAGAACAGACACAGGAGGAAAAGGTTAATGAGTCCGTAACCTAATTCATATATAACTGATGCTGCTGATAAAACTCTGAACAAAGAGCATCAGTGACCCTGCCACCTTTTATAAGGTCACTGCTAAAGTTGTTTGCTCAATTTGTCATTGCAGGTTCGACTGTTTCTATTAACTCACTAAACACACCGAGAAGCCTTGGCCTCTGATCTTTTAATGCTGGAAGATAAGCCCCGATTGGTTCATCCAGGTGTCCACCTTCACACACACTGATAAACCCTATAGAAAACCCGTACTTTCGATCTCTGTTGTCCCTGATCTCTGACTTGCTTAATAAACATAAGTTGCCATGCTAACCAAATTCAGCTCTAGGGCTGGTGCTGATGAAGATTTCCTGTTTCGATTTGTTTCTGATTTACAAACTCTTGATTTGATTTGATTCTGATTTAGTTTGATTTTATTCTGAATCATTAGAGTGTGTGTCAGTTATAATTTTCCTTACATAAAGACATTCTCTCTTTGCTAATGTTGTAACAAAGCCAGTTTTTCGGACTGATTTAAATGGACCTTTTTGAACTATTTCTAATCTTACTTTAGGTTGAAGCACTAAAATTATTGAAAAATATGAGTAAAAAAAAAAGAAAAGCTCATAAAATTACTAAAAAATTAAAGAAAAAATTAAATGAAAACTAAAAATATATAAAATCAATGCTAACTCAAAATATGAAAAAACTAATAGTATATAAATAATACAAAAATAACACTGTTCATAACAGTCATTCATTTCACGAATCAGGCTACGCTGATCGCGCTGTATGTTTTTAATTCCCTAAAAGAACTGAATCTTCATGAATCAAACTACACTGGTCATGCTTTTTTAATTCATGTTTTTAATTCACTGTAAGAACTGATCATAAGTCACTTGTTTATGGATCAGACTACATTGGTAACATTGTAAATGTTTTTTTTTTTTTTTTTGAATGCAGCCCTTGAGGACAACACATTTTTTGCCATTATTTTGTCTTATTGCATCACATTCAATAATTATCTGGAAAATTGACATTTTTACCCCTCCCTAGTCAAAGAAACGTAAAAATAAATAAATAAAAATCTGCTCACCGTGGAGACTTTGCCCACTACCTCAGGCATGAGCACCAGGCCGTGGGTGAACGTGCGAACTGCGATGAAGGACCGGGTCAACTGCAGGCGCAGCTTGCGTGGAACATCGCCAAAGGGTTTGAGCTGCTCCGTGTGCCTACTGACACACTCCATGTACGAGTCGCTGAACTCATATTGCACATTGACCAGTCGGAACATGCGCTCCAGAAGCTCCGTCCAGAAGTCCGCTAGCATGTCGTCCAGGTTGACGGCGCTGCTCCCATGGCTGTAGTAGTGGCGTAGCTCACTGAAGAAATGCTCGAAGAGCTCGGCGTTCTTCACATACATCAAGCCGTAGGTCCGCACGAACATGTCATTGAGAGATTTCTCTGCATTGCTCAACAGCTCTCTGAAGAACTCTGAGAACAAAGGACAATAACGATGGAGTTGTTTAGTTTTAAATATGTCAAAGGTGATGAAGGTTTTCAAGAGCATTCCTTTTGTGACAACAGCTGGAGTGAATGTTCTGAATCTGATAAAATGCATTGTGTGTGTGTGCACTTGTAGTGTACTTCAAATCTTATTTCTAATCTATATATATATATATATATATATATTCGCCTTCATGACTTAACTGACCACGACATTGCATGCACGTCGTTTCTTTCGCACTTTGATATGAAATGATAAAGGCTACAGCGTGCGCCGGCGCCTTTGTGCATACAATTGAAGAGTGCGTGCCGAGTAACCTACAGTACCGTTTCCACGCTCGTTTGACACGCACCTGGCGCTGAGGTGAAGTGGAGTGTGCGTCTGAAACGTCTCCTGTTTGATGTGCTCGTAAAGACGTTCTGTGACTAAATTAGCAAGTAAAAAGAGACAGGCAGCAGTTGTGAGTGGGGTGGCCAACACTAGCCCCGCCCCTGCGTTAACGGCGTTAAATATTTTTAACGTGTTAAAGGGGTCATATGATGCGATTTCAATTTTTCCTTTCTCTTTGAAGTGTTACAAGCTCTTCGTGCATAAAGAAGATCTGTAAAGTTCCAAAGACTAAAGTCTCAAATCCAAAGAGATATTCTTTATAAAAGTTAAGAGTCAACCACGCCTACCTAAAACGGCTCATTCTAACACGCCCCCACATGTCTACATCACGATGTGAGAAGATTTGCATAACGCCGCCCAAATGTTCACACAAAGAAAGAAGGCATAACTTT